TCCGAGAGGTCACTGTTTGGTTGGGAATGTAACGGTAGGAAGATGATGATGGAGATTTATAATATCTCTTCATGCTGTTTTCAGATGCCTTTGATGGGCAACTGATTCACGTTCATGTTATTGGCATGTTGTGTATGATAACGTTTTTCGCACACAGATTGACAGTGAGTAAACGGACACCAATTGCCTCTCTAGTGGCTACATTGTGAAGAAACAAGGAAGGATTCAGATGAAAAGGTAGTCAACAGACAGTTGGGAGGACGGATTCCGTCCATGTGTGCGCATTTATAACCTATTTAGACTTACAGTATTCGGTTAGTAAGAACTGCGCTCTAATTGACGTATTATCCACAATGCTACTGCCAAAGGGAACGGTTTGCTTTCATTCGTTACAACGCTATCGTCACCGTCCGCCAATGAGCGTTCTGCGTTAACGCAGCTTAACGAGTAACTAAATGTGGATGAAGCCCACACCGATAAATTCTCTATGTTGAACGCCTTACTTTTTCGTGATCATGTGAATAGATATGACTGCGGAGACCATGTCCCTCTCACTTTAGACACCAACTTTATTTTGTAATTGTACGATGCAGAGGCTAGAAAAGCTTCCTCAGAATGGTTTCTCTAATGAGCATGCGTCGTGATATTTCAAATGTAACTAAATCCAACTACTTTCTGTTTCATCCAAGTCGAGGTCTGATTTCCGTTACTTTCCAATGCATTCGCTTTGCGTTACCCAATCATTCTGGGCAGATTCCACGAATTACGGCTTGCGTTTCAATGAAGCAAAACTATTGTCCAATTTGGAGTACACGAGTGAGTAGTGGTTAATCCGTTCGTCTTGCTCTTGATTCACATCAAGTTAATCTTACTTTTTCCAGTTGGAAACTTATCATGATTATCAATAGAGAGGTGAAACTCAACTTTATTTTAAGAATTGCGGATAGTTGTTTTAAGAGCCCTCAATGACAGTTTAGCACAAAACTCAATGGTTTCATTTACCCTACACCCAGTGCACCCCAATTTCTCAAAGATGAAACGAGCATTCATTATCAACCCAGGAAGCTAATTTCCCGGAAAATAGCCCTCCTCTCCTTTCTGGTGGAAACAGTTTCATCAAAATGTGTGACAGTGAGTGAATCAAAGTCCTTATCCGGTTGTTGAGCCATAGGCGGCCAGTTCATCTAAGGGAGCTGCAAAATCCGAATTCCAATCCTTTCGAGTAAAGGCGAACGAACTGGCCATAGGTTACTTTGGCTTCGTTGGTAACCGGTTCGACTGGACGATTCGCCCAGAATAGCTCCATGGATATGATTGTTGCATCCATCTCCCTCCATATCATTATCCGAAACGCGTCCTGCGTGGTCTGAAACCCCAATACTTAATATGATACACCAGAGGCCATATTGGTATACCAATCAAAAGTGATTTTCTAACGTTGAGGGTACGTCAAATGTAAACAATCGTTGCTATTTCACAGCTCCCAATTACTGTTTTAGCCTTTCAGTCCATTGTCAACTTCCTATATCCGTTTCGCGTTTCAGATTCCAGTGTCGTATGGCTCGGGATGGAAATTCGAAACGACTTGAGCATTATGATCCCGGAAGCTCCACCTCGTACGTTATTCTGGTATCCTTTATGTTTCTCGCTGCTCACGTGTGATCACATTAGTCGGCACCTATTTCTGTTTCATTCATAGAAATGCAATGGTGACTGTGTTGGTTAACAGTGGTATTTTACTACACACCTTAATGAGATGAACAATATAAATAGTGCATCCCATAGTCACAGGATATACTGATCGGCCATTGCGGCATAACCCCTTTGACCGGTATTAGCGAAATCCTACTTCGAATTTTACTTGACTTGATCCTGCGTAGGAACAAGTC